TAGAAGCATCACCATTATCATTCCATCAGCATCACCAAATGTCATCACCAACGCTGACATTCACACGAATGCTATTCTCAGACAACATTTCGTACGTGAAAACGAGGGAAGAAATCCAACCAGGTGAGCCAGAGGAGCATCCCGGAACACAGCAAGTACTTGGAGGAACAACTTGGAAGTCGATTGAAACTCCGCCTGTTCTTAACATTTCGAAGGATGACAAGTGAGGAAAATTGCGTTTGTTATCTAGGAACTTTCGCGGAGTAGGGTGCAGCTTCCGTAAAATATATATTTTATAAATTATATATATATATATATATATACATATATAATATGCATATTATATATTAATAAATAAAATAATAAAATGATAAACAAAAAAAATCATTAATGAATGTTCATCCGGAATGATACCCCTTTCGTCCGTAAAAAAAAAAAAAAAAAAAAAAAAAAAAAAAAAAATAATTGGTTGTATACATGAGTGAAAGTCTTAATTCCTTTTATTGTTAAAACAGTGTTTCTCGATCAAGCATCGAACACGGACTAACTCAACTTCGGGAGAAGGATAGAATAGAAAGGGACATGGCTGCCAAGAACATGAGTGTCTCTCATGACTCGCCTACTTTCATACATCAGACCCTCTTCAAGAGTTTCAGTCCGCAGTCCATCACAGCAGCAAGAACAGGCTTCATGATAGACTGCGCTACTGAATTCATCATGGATCGGTAATGCAACCATTCTTTATTAACTATTGCAGCATCTTAGTCGTCAAACTTTTTCCAACTAGGTTTTGTAACTAAAGGAACTTATATGGAACCATTATTGATTAATACAGGTAATCGTCAATCGTTATTACAAGTTTTTATGCATTACAACTTGGACAGCAATCGTGTTTCCCAGGGTTGTGCTATAGACTGCATTTTACACAAAAAAACACAGATCATTTATCTCTTTGGGCACAACTAATTATATATCTCCTTATTTAGTTTGCAGCTTAATAAGACCGACATAACTTTCGACATCATCGTCTCGGACCAACTGGCCCAAGAAGAGTTCTGCGATCAGGACCAAGTTTCGTCCTCTTGCGAGGCCTTCAGCAAGTACAGGTCCTCCAACGGCACCTGTAATAACTTGGCCAACCCACTGTGGGGAGCCACTTTCAGGCCCTTCCGCCGCGTTGCTCCGCCTGACTATGGCAACGGTGGGTATCTTCAATTCCTGGTATTGCTGCTACGATCTCACTTCCATAAGTGCTTGTCTTCTGCCTTTCCCTAATGGCATGCTCATGATTTTTTGTATAAATGTGGCGTATCATGTTTATAAGCACAGTTTTATTCATGAAACCGTATCATAGTACGATATGAATATTTCATACACTGTAGTATCTTCCACACTGCAGGAGTGTCGAGCCTCCGCCGTTCCCAGGACGGGCAGCCACTTCCCAGCGCCCGCCGAGTCAGCGCAGCGGTTAACAGCATCCGGCCAAACGGGGAATCTTTTCTCCTCTCTGTCCTTCACATGACCTACGGGCAGTTCCTTGACCATGACCTGACCTTCACGCCTTTGAATAAAGGTCCGCTTGATACCAATATAGGATGTTAACATAAATCAAACTCAGCCACCAGACTCATTTTTGAGTTTTCCAAAAAGATTCAAATAACATAAAAATCTGTCTCAGGAATAATAATGGTAATACATATTTGTTGATAATATTTCCCAGTCATTAAGGGCAAACAGATTCAGAGACTAATGACCTACAGAAAACTCAAGATGTAATACATGTCGTCGATGCAGGACTCTATTTTCTTTATTCACATCCCAGGTATGTATGGAGATGCCATTCCATGCTGCCCTGACGCCCTGGGAGACCCCACTTTACTCCACCCTGAGTGCGCCGCCATTTCCATCCCTGCAGACGACCCTTTCTACTCCAGGTTCAACCAGACGTGCATGGAGTTCATCCGCTCGGCTCCCGCGCCACGGTGCCTGTTTGGTGAGTCCATTTTCTTCAAGTCGGATCGAACTACAAGCATTATAGAAAAAATATATAAGATAGAGAAATATCTTACTGGTTTGATAATTGACTTTTGATACTTGTTCCTTTTTCAGTTATAGAGAAATATCTTCCTGGTTTGATAATTGACTTTTGATACTTGTTCCTTTTTCAGTTATAGAGAAATATCTTACTGGTTTGATAATTGTCTTTTGATACTTGTTCCTTTTTCAGTTATTTATCGTTTCAATTTTAAGCATTCAAACTTCAACTTCAACTAAACTCCATAAAATTACTTCATTTGTTCAGGTCCACGAGAACAAATGAATGAGAAGACGGCATATATCGACGGCTCTCAGGTCTACGGCATCGATGACGAGATGATGAATTCACTGAGAACGATGGACGACGGTCTGCTTATTGCTCAGGTTAATACAGTGGTTTTTAGAGTCAGAGTAATTATTACCACCATCGTCACCATGACTTTCTGATTTGCTAGTGCTACACCATGTTTAGGAAGATTACTACATCAGAGTGGTGGCTGTGGCGATGCCTATGGAAAACAATACTTCACAGAGTAAAATACGAGGGCGCCAAAATATAGTAGTAAGGAAAGAACAAAGCAAGAAGTTTGGAGTAGGAAAATGTTCTGGGTTGTAAAAAATTCATTAAACTTGCAGAACCAACTTACAGTGCCCCAGGTGTAAGTAAAGATCTGGAATAGGAAATAGGAAACTACTGATGGTGAGAGGCGTTTGAAATAAGAAATAGGAAACTAAAAGGAATGTTGCAGACCTGTTATTGAAACAGGCTGTAAAAAGGAAGGGTATCGAAAGTTCTAGATTCAGAAGTAAGAATATTTAGAACATGGGTTTAATTTAATTTCATGCCAATCCTATGAAATATCATACACTAAACTTCAAATATGCTGCTTTGATATTAGACAGTTTTGTTTAAAAATGTAATGAATATAGAGGGTCTGCATGAATAGCATGGTATTCAACGAAGGGTTAAAACGTCATCTTAAAGGAAGTTAAGAATTATTACTAGACTCATTATTTGTTAAGCTAATAATATTAACAATAGCACTGAACATCGTAGTTAATAAACGGGTCATAAATCAAAGCAAAAAGAGCAAAATGATTGTAATTTGACAAATATATCAAAAGCAACTGCTATGAAAATGAGTTTTTCCCACAGATGACGAATGAAGGCGAGGAGCTTCTCCCTGCAAACACGGACTTAACAAACGAGTGCAACAAGGCAGAACAAGCCAGCATGAACCAGTTTTGCTTCCGGGCCGGTAGGTTGGCCCTTGTGTTCTCTGCCTCAGTTTAGTTTTGTAAATGTATATAGCTTTAACTTTCCCACATTTGTTGACGTGGTGTCAGTGTACCAAGCGGGTTTTAGCGCAAGTGTTGCACACTAACAATAATGTTAATAATGACACAACAGGGGACAGAAGAGTGAATGAGCAAGTTCTCCTCGTTCTGTTCCACACCGTATGGGCTCGTCACCACAACCATCTAGCGTCTCGGCTGAAGAACATCAATCCTTCCTGGAATGATGAAGAGCTGTTCCAGGAGGCCCGCCGAATCGTGGGCGCTCAGCTCCAACATGTTACCTACAACGAGTACTTGCCGCCCATCTTCGGTATGTCCCATGTCAGGCAAAGCATATGCAACTTATTTCCTTCTCAGGTTATTTGACAAATAAGTATATGAAATAGGTATAAATTCATATACACACAGATGAGGACATATGATAACAGAAGTGCATGCATGAATTGTCTACCAGGTGAGAACATCATAAAAGACTCTAAGCTGAAACCCTTGAAGAACAAGAAACGAAAGAACTTTTACATACCTGATAAGAGCGCTGCCATCAGTGCTGAATTTGCAACTGCTGCCTTCCGTTTTGGACACAGTCAGATTGCTGTGAGTTGAACCTTCATGTTGATTCTCTTATCTTCTCAGGCATTTTTTTTTCCCATTATGTGAATTGATATACGTTTCGTGCATTTTCTTAAATGAGTTGCATTTGTCGGATTCATTAAATCAAGATGAATTATTTGAAGTGAACTATCTTTGTAAGCAGTAAAATATCCAGGAAGTACAGGATATAGGTTACAAAAAATAGAATGGAACTAGATCTCATGTTACATATCCGTAAATGGGATATACTTAGGAAATATGCACCAAGGACCTTATATCAGATCATAGCTCTTTGGTTGATTTCGTCCAACATTCCTCTCGTCTCGTTTTAGGGTCATATGGAGAGAGTGGATGACTTCGGCGACATTTCCTCAACTGAGACGTCTTCGGTGTTTATGAATCCTTTCGTCGTGTACATGAAAGGCGCCGTTCCACAGCTGACGCGAGGGGAGGTTCGACAGAGCGCGGGAGACGTTGACCCATTCTTTACACCGCAAGTGAGTCAGTGTCAAGTGATGTGTGTGGTGATATCAGGTATCTTATAAAGATTGAGTGGAGTGACGAATGACTGAGATTTCATTAGGTCTTGTCACATTTTTGTCTATGGATTTAACAAATGCAATGATTCCCAATATATTATGTCTGCACGTCAATCTTCCAGTATTAAAAAATCTAAACTTTGATAATTTACGAACAGGTGGCCGGCAAACTTTTCAAAGGGATGAACATGTTTGGACTCGATCTGATGTCCCTCAACATACAGCGTGGCCGTGACCATGGCATTGCCTCGTACACGGCACTCAGAGCCTCATGCGACTTGTCTTCCATTCATGACTTTCCTGATCTCTCGGGAATCATGGATGAGGATGTGATTGAAATTCTAGAGGATGTATATAGGTACGCCATTTCTTCTATGTGATTCTTCCCACCCCCTTGCATTATGTTTATTAACATTGTACTTGTTTATTAACATTGTTCGTGAACATATTTTCCATGTGAAGTAGAACACAATGGAGAGTTCAGATGATTATCACACTGAGATCTTTAATTTTTAGTCATGTGGATGACATTGACCTGTTCGTCGGTGGTTTGGCTGAGCACCCGGTAGAAGGAGGAGTAGTAGGTCCCACTTTCGCTTGTATTCTGCTGGACCAGTTCCTTAGGCTGAAAGTAGGCGACAGATATTGGTACGAGACTAATGACAAGGATACAAGGTTTAAGAAAGGTAAGTAAAATGTGGTTGTCATGGCTTTCCTTGGAACTTAGTAATTATTTATAACAACATGCCATTGTTCTGTTTCCTTATGTTCTTGTCCTGTTACACTTGTCGATGTATTGTTACTTTTTATTTTACTATTTCAGAACAAGTCAAAGAAATTCGCAAAACAACCTTGGCGGGGATCATGTGCGAAGTGATTCCAGAACTGACGGAGATTCAGGAGAGCTCTGAAAGTGGCATCTCGAGAATCCAGTGGTATCTTGCTCTTCTTTCCAAGAATTGGACCTCAGCCACTGGAAAGGAATGATTGCAGTCGATGGAAGGATTCTGTGAAGTTTCGCAAAGATCAATTTGAGCAATGCAATCGGATATTTTTGATATGTTCATTGTAAAGCATTGTCTGGTCTGGATAGTATCTTTATCCGAGATTAATTAAAGAGTCCTTTCCACCTGATGTTAGTTTGGAATAACCACTAAGAGCAAACAGAGATAAATACCCCTTGCAAACACAGACACGAAACGTCTTAAACAGAAAGAAAGGAAAAAAAAAAAAAAGCTGAAAGGGAGAATAAAAGATCTGCTTTCATCATACTGAGTAACAGGCAAGTGTCCTCGAATGTTTGCTACATCTCTTGTTATTATGACAACAGTTGTCTATACCCCTTCAAAGGTTATCCGTGACCCTCCTCGCCAGGGACACTAATTAGGGGTGGCAGAGGACGGTTGGTGAGGAGTAGGAGGAGGGCGGTACTTACTTGCCAAGGAGACCGCTAATTAGTTATACAATGTATAGTAGAAACACTAATGCCACTAACGTTTGAATGGGATCGATAATAGAAACAAACTTTTGACGTACTCCTGGTGTCCCTATTCTGTTGTGCTGTCTGACACTTACTTGTCTCATCAATTTCTCAATAGACATACTTTGTATTAATTTTCTTTTCCCCTTTATATTAGCAAGACTCTAGCAATGAACGATAACTTTGTCATAACACACAATCTACACTAAATTCATATTTTGGCCATTTTTTTCATATCCAAGGTTTAGAGAAATTACTATAAAAAAGTTTCTTCTTCGAATCATCTATGGTTAAAGCATGATTTGAAGCAACAGAAGAAGCATTAATAGAATCCTATTACACTGAATTTCTGTGTTGTTGTAGGCAATTTTCGCTGAATCCTTTGTGTCATATAACAGAATATCGGTTCCCTCTCCCTCGTGGCTCCAGAACGTTTTGGAAATGGGTCAGGCTCTCCAATAGCATACTGGGTTAAAAGGTCCTCTAAGACAATATTTGCCCTTTCTCCCAATGGCATTTGAAACTCCCCTACCCCTCACGCGACACGACAGTTCACATAAGCTAATGAATGGATAAAAGCAATGTCAAGGCTGAATTAGAGGGGCTTACCGGTATCGCCCGGGATAAAATAAATAAATATATTTCATTCCTTTTGTGTTAATTTGAGTTAAATTGAAAGTGATCCCATCCCCCCCCCACACACACATCCTTTCTTTCTCTTGAATTTGCGCATAAAACTACGACGGCTGTTTTAATCTAGATTATTAAGGGCGAAAATGTAAAAAAAAAAAAAAAAAAAAAAAAAAAAGAGTAGTGTGTTTGTGCGCAAGTTAAGTAAAGTCCTGCACATGATGTCCCATGGAGGAAAAGCCTGGGGGTTCGATGCTGATCATGAGGTCAGTCTTGGATGTAATGTAGGCCAATATATATCTCGCTCTCTCTCCCTTTTTTGCTTGCTGACTGGCTCGTACAAAGCCGCAATTGGTATTCCTATTATTATTGTTTTTAATATCACTATTATTTGTTATTGCTATTATTGCTGTTGATATAATCATATACAGATTTCATACACAGAAGGAAAATGAATGGTTTATTCGATTGTTCCCATGGACAGACAACTTTGAAGTTTGGAAAAGCATCATAAATACCCTTACCAAATACACAACAGTATATTGATTTCCCAGACGAGGTTATTCCAGCAATATTAGGTGTGGCACCTATTTCAGGTTGCACATCTTGCACAATAAGATATATGAATCTGGCGTAATCGACAAGAAAATCCATTACTGCTACTTCTACTTTTATTAATATTATTACTATGACTTTTTATCATTATATAATCCCTATTTGTCTTTGTCTTTATGTATTGTGTGATTGATACCTTAGTTGTATGATTTGTTTTATAAAGAATTCGACGAAAGCATTTGGATTTTACATGTCATACACACACACACACACACACACACACACACACACACACACACACACACACACACACACATATATATATATATATATATATATATATATATATAATGCGTGTTTGTATATATCTATAAATATGTATATTTATGTGTACGTGTTGTGTGTGTGTATATATACTTATATGATACAGTTTATATATATATATATATATATATATATATATATATATATATATTTACATATATATGATAGTTTATATATATATATATATATATTATATATATATATATATATATATATATATATATATATATATATATATATATATATATATATATATATATATATATATATATATATATATATATATATATGAGAGAGAGAGAGAGAGAGAGAGAGAGAGAGAGAGAGAGAGATACAAACATATATACATTTATATGATACAGTTATATATATACATATATATTATATTTATACATACATACATATATATATATATATATATATATATATATATATATATATATATATATATATATATAAATATATGTATATATATGCATACACACACACACACACACACACACACACACACACACACACACACACACACACACACACACACACACACATATATATATATATATATATATATATGTATAAAATATAAATAATACCATCCTATTTCACATAGGCTGGACATGTTCCTAAGGGTAATGTTGCAATCAGTTGTAAAAATTATATATTTTTTTTTCTGGACATTCTCCAGGCATAGTCCTACAAAAGAGAAGACACTTAATGAGAATATTATTAAACAATTGGTTTAAAGATAATTTGAAGTTCCTACTTTTCATATATCAGTCGTGTCCATTTCGCAATCTGCATCTCTTTCTACTGATCTGGCTAAATATGATGTAAATTGTTTCTGTTTGGGAAGGCAGGGCTCCCCTTCACACTTGGTCTAAGCACTGCATGTGATAAAGATGATACACAATCTGTCAATGAGACAAAGACTGGCAAGGTATGAGTGATTCATTGAGGTACCTTGGGGAAACATTCTCATGGACAATGTTAACAAACAGGCAATTGATTTTTGCAAATTACTAGTTAGCTCATGCGAATGTACCCAGCAAGACATATAAAGCATAGCTGCTATAACTGGAAAAACAGCTGATAAAATTATGAGAGTCTAGAGCCGTTATAGACGCCCTTTTTCAAGAAATAACTATGCCCATGCTATTGTTTCCAGGAGAATGAAAGCGGTTTAATTATGGGCAATTGGAGCTCTTCCGATCAAAATTCACTTGCAGTTGAGTGAGACCTTCAACTTGGTGGAGGTGCATCAAACAATAACACGGACGAGGACATCTTCCAACTCTAAATTTTCTCCGAGATGAAAATAAAAAAACTTGACTGACCATCCCCAGTCTGCCACTCGTTACCAACTTGCAGCTTTACAGTTCCGTGATCTCAAGCAGAAATCTAAGCAAGACTGATGGCCAGAAAGTCATGGGACCTAATGAAATCAGTCATTATGCACTAAACAAGCGTGTTAGACGGCTCACTGCTCGTCTTACCTCACTCTACCAAACATGCCACAGTTGCAGAAAGTAACTGGATATTTGGTAGAAAGCAAACATAGTGCAGTGCATTACAATGGTTACAAAAAAGGAAACTACGGTCCTAATTCACTATTACGTTTGATTAAACGAACGAGCTACCAATATCTGACCTCAAAACATGGATGTCTACCGGGGTCCCTCTGCTCCTTGTGGCCCCTGGGGCCCTTTCAAAGGGGTCCAAAAATGCGCTAGATTAACATGTGAGGTACTGAAACCACTTTAAGGTGAAAAGGTATGTCACACAGTTTACCTGGTGACCTATGCTAGACAAATTCTCTGCGGCTAAGGGCCGTCAGACACCCTTAATTAAAGAGCCTTAATATTTAATCCAAGTTCAACATTCGAGGTACCACACGGAACTAGTGTAAGAATTTCGTACAAGTCCCCCGGAATATGGAATAAACAATGCCAAATAAATTCCCTGCTGCAAAGGGACCGCCACAAAGCCCTTAGTTCATATTTAACCTAGGTTAAACAATCGATATATGTACATCTATTTCTCTATCTAAATCTTTACACATCTCTAAATTAAGTTCTGTCTCTGTATCTCTCTCTTCCTTTTTCCTATCTTCATTTTGTCCTTATCCCCTCTCTTTATCCCTCACACTTGCCTGTGTGTTTATGTGCATGTGTTGAAGTGTGTGTGGGATGTAAGGTTAGGGCTTAGGGTTAGACGCTGGACAGAGACAGGAGTCGTGAGCGATGTCCTCCAGACCTCGTAATGTCACTGTTATTACATAGATAGCTAGACATCTGTACACTATGTTGTTTTATATTGCTATGTCAAGAATAAAGGTATCACAAAAACTTTTTTGAAAAAATAGGAGGTTGAATTATAGCACCAACATGATATGAATAAATTCGTACCGTACGGCTTATGGTCGGAGCTACAGTCTATGTATATCGGAAATTTAATCATATTGGAATATAGTATTTGTAATCATGCTATACCTTTGTATATGTTCATAACCGAATGTCTTTATTCTCATCTTCTCTCTCAGTAGAGAGGCCTTTGTTTACATCTAGTATGGTAGATCGGGCAGATGCTCTGAATACTATATCCAAGATTAAAGCACCCTGGACACAAGTTGTCTTTCCAATCAACCTATGTGACATGTGAACATGCTCAGTCATTCCCACAATACACAAATCACACGGTGAGCCAGGCATTCACAATACTGTATGTCATACACGTCTTCCCAGATGTCAAAAAAAATTAAAAGGACGAAGAGATATCGAGACTAGCGAGAACTCCATGCAAACAGATGTTATGAATCAATTATATCCTTTCCATGGAACGCTCAAACTTATCACTCCTGTCACTGACTCAGACTTACAGAAGGCGGAGCCACGTCCTTGCATCTCGCTATAAAATAAAGAGCGTCAGTTGTATCTGTTACAGTTGTATCTGGACTTCCCGAAGTTCAGCGAAGGTGAGAACTACACTCAGCGGATCACCGCTGCCATAGACCAATAGTTGTACTTCATACTCTAGTTTTGCTTAACTTTTTGAAGCATTTGCTTACAATCTGATCCAAAGTGTTATAAGACACTATAATCCCTATTTTAATAGCATGCCAGTGAAAAATATAATGAAGAGCCATAGTTAATATGAATTAAATTCCATTTTTTCATGCATTAGCCCGTTGATCAAGTGAACAAATTTTCGAAAATAATCTTACTGTCGGTTATACTGCTGATATCGGACAGAAGTGTAATAATATTTTTCCATATTATTAAATCACCTCCGCCAAGGAGGTTTTGAGTTTGGTAACGTTGGTTAGTTGGTTAGTAGAATAACTGACATATTTATGAACAGACTTTTGTGAATAGCCATAGATATGTCTTAACCTAAGTTAGACGTCATTTCATTTTGGTTGTGATCGGGATCGTGATACAGATTCAGGTGCGAGATAGGGAAATGCGAAAGAGGTAATTTTCATGTAATTTTTAAAGTGTGATTTTTTTATTGCATCAGTGAGCCAATTGCTTTGGCGGAGGTTTGCACTCTGGGTGCTTCTCGTTTCTGGTGTCACTGTTCAGCGTCCCACTTAGCAGTCTGCGAAGCGTGCGACGCAATTCTGGTCCAAGAAGATTCAGTGTTTTAAAAAGAGCCGTTGAAATGTCAAGTAGAAAAAAGTAACGATGGAAGATATAGGAAAAGGGGATAATAAGGGCTAAAGCAGAATAAATCAGCCAGTTCATGGATAACTTTATTCGATATGCATTCTTCATAGACTGCAACCCAAGCAGCAAATAAAGCGTAAGAATAAATTTGTTTAAAGTTTTGAGATACCGTCCGGTCGATAGGAATTTTATCACGAAATGTATGCCTGTACTTTTTCATCATAAAGTAATATAATATTCGGGATAGAATATAAATGATGTGTGCGTATTTAGTAATATATATATAAATATATATAAAGTAAATATTTAATACGTATACACCTTTTATTACTAAATCATGGTAGTCAATAGGTAAAACTATCTTTTATATAGGCCTATTATGTGTTCATATTTTTGTGCTATTCAAAGCCTTCGTTGAACATTAAAATACATTGGATCATCTTATAAGTTGGGGTTAACATTAACAAATTTTCATCACTAGCATTCGTTGCAGATCCATGATGAAGGTGGTTTGCGTGTTCCTTGCAATGTTGCTAGTTATTGCACTAGCATCTGAGACAACTACGTTACGAATCATTGAAGGTGAGTTTTTTTTTCTCATGTTGCCAGTCTTGTTTACCTCTTTATTACATATTAAGTTATTAGCATATTAAAATTGGGAAAGAGATCGAGAGAGTGAATAAAAGAGGGAGGGCAGGATCGGCAGCGATTCATCAAAGCAGAGTTTGTATGTGTGTGTGTGTATGAGAGAGAGAGAGAGAGAGAGAGATGAAAAGTCCTTACATTTTGATTTTAAGAACAAGGTCTTTGACTTTAGAATGTTGAGGATTATGCCAAGAAAAGATTATTTCACTTATTTTGTCTTCTCACCTCTCATTACTTCTGTCATCTCTATAAGATTAACACCACCATAATTGAAAGAACTATCATCATTATAATTGACATTTCTATTATCCATAGAATTATCACAACCAACATTATAAGTGGCATTTTAATTATCATTAGCATTATAATCAGCATTAGAATTATCACTACGATTATTATTGGTCGTCTTCATTATCATCATTAGAAGCATCACCATTATCATTCCCATCAGCATCACCAATGTCATCACCAACGCTGACGTTCACACGAATGCTATTCTCAGACAACATTTCGTACGTGAAACGAGGGAAGAAATCCAACCAGGTGACGCCAGAGGAGCATCCCGGAACACAGCAAGTACTTGGAGGAACAACTTGGAAGTCGATTGAAACTCCGCCTGTTCTTAACATTTCGAAGGATGACAAGTGAGGAAAATTGCGTTTGTTATCTAGGAACTTTCGCGGAGTAGGGTGCAGCTTCCGTAAAATATATATTTTATAAATTATATATATATATATATATATATATATATATATATATATAATATATATATAATATGCATATTATATATTAATAATAATAATAATAATAATGATAAACAAAAAAAATCATTAATGAATGTTCATCCGGAATGATACCCCTATTCGTCCGTAAAAAAAAAAAAAAAAAAAAAAAAAAAAAGTTTTCTCGCGTTTGTTTTGTTTGAAGTAAGTTTTCTTGTGGTGTGAAAATTATGTGCGAGTCTATTGTATTTTTCGATAACTTGGTTTCACGCATTTTAACGGTCTTCTCATAATCTGGTAATTTTTGATTCTGATAAGATTTCAAAAAAGATCATTCCTATAATAATTGGTTGTATACATGAGTGAAAGTACTTTTCCTTTTATTAAAACAGTGTTTCTCGATCAAGCATCGAACACGGACTAACTCAACTTCGGGAGAAGGATAGAATAGAAAGGGACATGGCTGCCAAGAACATGAGTGTCTCTCATGACTCGCCTACTTTCATACATCAGACCCTCTTCAAGAGTTTCAGTCCGCAGTCCATCACAGCAGCAAGAACAGGCTTCATGATAGACTGCGCTACTGAATTCATCATGGATCGGTAATGCAACCATTCTTTATTAACTATTGCAGCATCTTAGTCGTCAAACTTTTTCCAACTAGGTTTTGTAACTAAAGGAACTTATATGGAACCATTATTGATTAATACAGGTAATCGTCAATCGTTATTACAAGTTTTTATGCATTACAACTTGGACAGCAATCGTGTTTCCCAGGGTTGTGCTATAGACTGCATTTTACACAAAAAAACACAGATCATTTATCTCTTTGGGCACAACTAATAATAAATCTCCTTATTTAGTTTGCAGCTTAATAAGACCGACATAACTTTCGACATCCTCGTCTCGGACCAACTGGCCCAAGAAGAGTTCTGCGATCAGGACCAAGTTTCGTCCTCTTGCGAGGCCTTCAGCAAGTACAGGTCCTCCAACGGCACCTGTAATAACTTGGCCAACCCACTGTGGGGAGCCACTTTCAGGCCCTTCCGCCGCGTTGCTCCGCCTGACTATGGCAACGGTGGGTATCTTCAATTCCTGGTATTGCTGCTACGATCTCACTTCCATAAGTGCTTGTCTTCTGCCTTTCCCTAATGGCATGCTCATGATTTTTTGTATAAATGTGGCGTATCATGTTTATAAGCACAGTTTTATTCATGAAACCGTATCATAGTACGATATGAATATTTCATACACTGTAGTATCTTCCACACTGCAGGAGTGTCGAGCCTCCGCCGTTCCCAGGACGGGCAGCCACTTCCCAGCGCCCGCCGAGTCAGCGCAGCGGTTAACAGCATCCGGCCAAACGGGGAATCTTTTCTCCTCTCTGTCCTTCACATGACCTACGGGCAGTTCCTTGACCATGACCTGACCTTCACGCCTTTGAATAAAGGTCCGCTTGATACCAATATAGGATGTTAACATAAATCAAACTCAGCCACCAGACTCATTTTTGAGTTTTCCAAAAAGATTCAAATAACATAAAAATCTGTCTCAGGAATAATAATGGTAATACATATTTGTTGATAATATTTCCCAGTCATTAAGGGCAAACAGATTCAGAGACTAATGACCTACAGAAAACTCAAGATGTAATACATGTCGTCGATGCAGGACTCTATTTTCTTTATTCACATCCCAGGTATGTATGGAGATGCCATTCCATGCTGCCCTGACGCCCTGGGAGACCCCACTTTACTCCACCCTGAGTGCGCCGCCATTTCCATCCCTGCAGACGACCCTTTCTACTCCAGGTTCAACCAGACGTGCATGGAGTTCATCCGCTCGGCTCCCGCGCCACGGTGCCTGTTTGGTGAGTCCATTTTCTTCAAGTCGGATCGAACTACAAGCATTATAGAAAAAATATATAAGATAGAGAAATATCTTACTGGTTTGATAATTGACTTTTGATACTTGTTCCTTTTTCAGTTATAGAGAAATATCTTACTGGTTTGATAATTGACTTTTGATACTTGTTCCTTTTTCAGTTATTTATCGTTTCAATTTTAAGCATTCAAACTTCAACTTCAACTAAACTCCATAAAATTACTTCATTTGTTCAGGTCCACGAGAACAATGAATGAGAAGACGGCATATATCGACGGCTCTCAGGTCTACGGCATCGATGACGAGATGATGAATTCACTGAGAACGATGGACGACGGTCTGCTTATTGCTCAGGTTAATACAGTGGTTTTTAGAGTCAGAGTAATTATTACTACCATCACCACCATGACTTTCTGATTTGCTAGTGCTACATCATGTTTAGGAAGATTACTACATCAGAGTGGTGGCAGGGGCGAAGCATATGGAAAACAATACTTTATAGAGTAGAATACGAGGGCGCCAAAATATAGTACTAAGGAAGGAATAAAGCAAGAAGTTTGGAGTAGGAAAATGTTCTGGGTTGTAAAAATTTCATAAAACTTGCAGCACCAACTTACAATGCCCCAGGTGTAAGTAAAGATCCGGAATAGGAAATTTGAAAGCACTGAGGCTTTAAACTACTAATGGCGTTTGAAATAGGAAACAAGAAACTGAAAGAGACGTTGTAGACCTGACATTGAAATAGGCTGTAAAAAGGATCAGCGAAGGGTATCAAAAGTTCTAGATTCAGAAGCAAGAATATTTAGAACATGGGTTTAATTTAATTTCATGTCAGTCCTATGAAATATCATACACCATACTTCAAATATGTTGCTATGATATTAGACAGAGTTTTGTTTAAAAATGTAATGAATATAGAGGGTCTGCATGAATAGCATGGTATTCAACGAAGGGTTAAAACGTCATCTTAAAAGGAAGTTAAGAATTATTACTAGACTCATTATTGTTAAGCTAATAATATTAACAATAGCACTGAACATCGTAGTTAATAAACGGGTCATAAATCAAAGCAAAAAGAGCAAAATGATTGTAATTTGACAAATATATCAAAAGCAACTGCTATGAAAATGAGTTTTTCCCACAGATGACGAATGAAGGCGAGGAGCTTCTCCCTGCAAACACGGACTTAACAAACGAGTGCAACAAGGCAGAACAAGCCAGCATGAACCAGTTTTGCTTCCGGGCCGGTAGGTTGGCCCTTGTGTTCTCTGCCTCAGTTTAGTTTTGTAAATATATATAGCTTTAACTTTCCCACATTTGTTGACGTGGTGTCAGTGTAGCAAGCGGGTTTTAGCGCAAATGTTGCACACTAACAATAATGTTAATAATGACACAACAGGGGACAGAAGAGTGAATGAGCAAGTTCTCCTCGTTCTGTTCCACACCGTATGGGCTCGTCACCACAACCATCTAGCGTCTCGGCTGAAGAACATCAATCCTTCCTGGAATGATGAAGAGCTGTTCCAGGAGGCCCGCCGAATCGTGGGCGCTCAGCTCCAACATGTTACCTACAACGAGTACTTGCCGCCCATCTTCGGTATGTCCCATGTCAGGCAAAGCATATGCAACTTATTCCTTCTCAGGTTATTTGACAAATAATATATGAAATAGTAGGTATAAATTCATATACACACAGATAAGGACATATGATAACAGAAGTGCATGCATGAATTGTCTACCAGGTGAGAACATCATAAAAGACTCTAAGCTGAAACCCTTGAAGAACAAGAAACGAAAGAACTTTTACATACCTGATAAGAGCGCTGCATCAGTGCTGAATTTGCAACTGCTGCCTTCCGTTTTGGACACAGTCAGATTGCTGTGAGTTGAACCTTCATGTTGATTCTCTTATCTTCTCAGGCATTTTTTTTCCCATTATGTGAATTGATATACGTTTCGTGCATTTTCTTAAATGAGTTGCATTTGTCGGATTCATTAAATCAAGATGAATTATTTGAAGTGAACTATCTTTGTAAGCAGTAAAATATCCAGGAAGTACAGGATATAGGTTACAAAAAATAGAATGGAACTAGATCTCATGTTACATATCCGTAAATGGGATATACTTAGGAAATATGCACCAAGGACCTTATATCAGATCATAGCTCTTTGGTTGATTTCGTCCAACATTCCTCTCGTCTCGTTTTAGGGTCATATGGAGAGAGTGGATGACTTCGGCGACATTTCTCAACTGAGACGTCTTCGGTGTTTATGAATCCTTTCGTCGTGTACATGAAAGGCGCCGTTCCACAGCTGACGCGAGGGGAGGTTCGACAGAGCGCGGGAGACGTTGACCCATTCTTTACACCGCAAGTGAGTCAGTGTCAAGTGATGTGTGTGGTGATATCAGGTATCTTATAAAGATTGAGTGGAGTGACGAATGACTGAGATTTCATTAGGTCTTGTCACATTTTTGTCTATGGATTTAACAAATGCAATGATTCCCAATATATTATGTCTGCACGTCAATCTTCCAGTATCATTCCAGTATTAAAAAAATCTAAACTTTGATAATTTACGAACAGGTGGCCGGCAAACTTTTCAAAGGGATGAACATGTTTGGACTCGATCTGATGTCCCTCAACATACAGCGTGGCCGTGACCATGGCATTGCCTCGTACACGGCACTCAGAGCCTCATGCGACTTGTCTTCCATTCATGACTTTCCTGATCTCTCGGGAATCATGGATGAGGATGTGATTGAAATTCTAGAGGATGTATATAGGTACGCCATTTCTTCTATGTGATTCTTCCCACCCCCTTGCATTATGTTTATTAACATTGTACTTGTTTATTAGTTCGTGAACATATTTTCCATGTGAAGTAGAACACAATGGAGAGTTCAGATGATTATCACACTGAGATCTTTAATTTTTAGTCATGTGGATGACATTGACCTGTTCGTCGGTGGTTTGGCTGAGCACCCGGTAGAAGGAGGAGTAGTAGGTCCCACTTTCGCTTGTATTCTGCTGGACCAGTTCCTTAGGCTGAAAGTAGGCGACAGATATTGGTACGAGACTAATGACAAGGATACAAGGTTTAAGAAAGGTAAGTAAAATGTGGTTGTCATGGCTTTCCCTTGGAACTTAGTAATTATTTATAACAACATGCCATTGTTCTGTTTCCTTATGTTCTTGTCCTGTTACACTTGTCGATGTATTGTTACTTTTTATTTTACTATTTCAGAACAAGTCAAAGAAATTCGCAAAAACCTTGCGGGGATCATGTGCGAAGTGATTCCAGAACTGACGGAGATTCAGGCAGAGCCTCTGAAAGGGCATCTCTCGAGAATCCAGTGGTATCTTGCTCTTCTTTCCAAGAATTGGACCTCAGCCACTGGAAGGAATGATTGCAGTCGATGGAAGGATTCTGTGAAGTTTCGCAAAGATCAATTTGAGCAATGCAATCGGATATTTTTGATATGTTCATTGTAAAGCATTGTCTGGTCTGGATAGTATCTTTATCCGAGATTAATTAAAGAGTCCTTTCCACCTGATGTTAGTTTGGAATAACCACTAAGAGCAAACAGAGATAAATACCCCTTGCAAACACAGACACGAAACGTCTTAAACAGAAAGAAAGGAAAAAAAAAAAAGCTGAAAGGGAGAATAAAAGATCTGCTTTCATCATACTGAGTAACACAGGCAAGTGTCCTCGAATGTTTGCTACATCTCTTGTTATTATGACAACAGTTGTCTATACCCCTTCAAAGGTTATCCGTGACCCTCCTCGCCAGGGACACTAATTAGGGGTGGCAGAGGACGGTTGGTGAGGAGTAGGAGGAGGCGGTACTTACTTGCCAAGGAGACCGCTAATTAGTTATACAATGTATAGTAGAAACACTAATGCCACTAACGTTTGAATGGGATCGATAATAGAAACAAACTTTTGACGTACTCCTGGTGTCCCTATTCTGTTGTGCTGTCTGACACTTACTTGTCTCATCAATTTCTCAATAGACATACTTTGTATTAATTTTCTTTTCCCCTTTATATTAGCAAGACTCTAGCAATGAACGATAACTTTGTCATAACACACAATCTATACACTAAACATTCATATTTTGGCCATTTTTTTCATATCCAAGGTTTAGAGAAATTACTATAAAAGTTTCTTCTTCGAATCATCTATGGTTAAAGCATGATTTGAAGCAACAGAAGAAGGATTAATAGAATCCTATTACACTGAATTTCTGTGTTGTTGTAGTCTGCAATTTTCGCTGAATTCTTTGTGTCATATAACAGAATATCGGTTCCCTCCCTCGTGGCTCCAGAACGATTTGGAAATGGGTCAGGCTCTCCAATAGCATACTGGGTTAAAAGGTCCTCTAAGACAATATTTGCCCTTTCTCCCAATGGCATTTGAAACGCCCTACCCCCGCGACACGACAGTTCACATAAGCTAATGAATGGATAAAAGTAATGCCAAGGCTGAATTAGAGGGGCTTACCGGTATCGCCCGGGATACAAAGTAAATAAAATAAATATATTTCATTCCTTTTGTGTTAATTTGAGTTAAATTGAAAGTGATCCCATACCCCCCCCACACACACATCCTTTCTTTCTCTTGAATTTGCGCATAAAACTACGACGCTGTTTTAATCTAGATTATTAAGGGCGAAAATGTAAAAAAAAAAAAAAAAAAAAAAAAAAAAGAGTAGTGTGTTTGTGCGCAAGTTAAGTAAAGTCCTGCACATGATGTCCCATGGAGGAAAAGCCTGGGGTTTCGATGCTGATCATGAGGTCAGTCTTGGATGTAATGTAGGCCAATATATATCTCGCTCTCTCTCCCTTTTTTGCTGGCTGACTGGCTCGTACAAAGCCGCAATTGGTATTCCTATTATTATTGTTTTTAATAATCACTATTATTTGTTATTGCTATTATTGCTGTTGATATAATCATATACAGATTTCATACACAGAAGGAAAATGAATGGTTTATTCGATTGTTCCCATGGACAGACAACTTTGAAGTTTGGAAAAGCATCATAAATACCCTTACCACAAATACACAACAGTATATTGATTTCCCAGACGAGGTTATTCCAGCAATATTAGGTGTGGCACCTATTTCAGGTTGCACATCTTGCACAATAAGATATATGAATCTGGCGTAATCGACAAGAAATCCATTACTGCTACTTCTACTTTTATTAATATTATTACTATGACTTTTATCATTATATAATCCCTATTTGTCTTTGTCTTTATGTATTGTGTGATTGATACCTTAGTTGTATGATTTGTTTTATAAAGAATTCGACGAAAGCATTTGGATTTTACATGTCATACACACACACACACACAACACACACACACACACACACACACACCACACACACACACACATATATATATATATATATATATATATATATATATATATATATATATATATATATATAAATGCGTGTTTGTATATATCTATAAATATGTATATTTATGTGTACGTGTTGTGTGTGTGTATATATACTTATATATGATACAGTTTATATATATATATATATATATATATATATATATATATATATATATATATATATATATATATTTACATATATGATATTTATATATATATATATAATATAAT